GCAGCAGCACTCTAAGAGTGCTGTATAGCAGGCACAGCAGCACCTGGCTACAGCATTAACATAGGTCTGTAAGCAATGCAGAGCTATGGATTATATCATGCATGGCAGTTTTCTGCACAGCCATGCTTTCCTCACATGCCCAAATGTCCAGTCCTCACATATGGTCTGAAGTTATTAGTACAAAATCCAAAACAACTCTGGCAGCTGAAGACACGTGATGCCCAATTACACAGCTAGTCAAGCCCTTACAGACCTTTTTACACTGTGGTACCTAGAATTTCTATGAATGTAAGGTTTTATCCACATCAGTAACTCTGAAAAAGTCTCAGATTACATTAAAACATGCCCTAGAAAAAAAACCTTTTATACTATACCCTAAAAGAGAAATTTCAGACTTTTTTTAATCATAAAAGTACTCAGAATTATTCTACATCATGCATATATATGTATATAAGCAAGTCAAAGAAATATTTCATTACAAAACATCGACGTAGATACTTCGTGCTTTCTACCAGCTGTCAGCACACAGCCTTTAAGCTTCCCGTAGAGCAATACTGTCCTCTTTCGGCATAATCTGTTATGGACAATGTTTTACAACGGAACTCTTTAGCAAGGTTAGGAAGCACTTTTTAGGGATGTACTTTTTTATTTTGTAGAAAAATTGAATTTTTGGAAAAAAACAAACAAAAAAAAAACAAACACAAAAACCCACAATAAAAAAAAAAACCAAACCAATAAAAAAAATCCAAAGCAACAAGCAAACCCCCCAAAGTACTACAAACTGTTAACAGACTTAGTTTTGCAGGATGTTGATCTAAAAACGTCACTACTGTTAAAAGATTGCTGAGAGCCAACGTTACAGAATGTGTTATATGTGGAGCAAACAGAACAAAAATAGTGCATTAGATGTTTGCTCTTACTGATTACAGCACAAATACACACTGTACAATTAGTAGACACAAACTGAAGGCTGGGATAAAAGATAAGAGTTGGAAAGATTAAAAAAAAAGGCATTTAAACTGGTCAAAACACTGACCAAAATCTCCTTTCAATCTAACATAGAGAAAGCCTATCAACTGTACAGATGTAGGAATGGATAGAAATTAAAAGTATTGAAACAGGAATCCACAGTTCTTGCTAATTTTTTTATGATGTAAATCTGCTGCTACTGTTAATGTACGAGTCACTTCCCCCATCCAAATGTCCCACCTCTCAAACCCTTTTATTGCTGCTCCTCTCCCAACCCTAAGAAACAGGTTGAGAAAATGCTTTTTGATCACACAGAGATAAAAAATAAGCTTGCTTGTCTAATGCGTAATATGGTACTGACACTGCTAACAGCAGGCCATGCGCTTAGTACTGAGTTTGCAAGGCCCCTGGACTCGCTGTATCTGAGCTTACCTTCACCTGCCTATAGCTCTTACTCAGTTTAGCTATGACAGCAATCCCTCTAATTGACCTGGTGTCTATAGGTAACCTGTTCTGCCCATCTTAGTGTGGTACAAGGCTAGTTTTATATAGATAACAGTAACAAGCTATTACTGGTGGCAGAATAAATTATTTATCATTCTCAATACAATGTATTACAGTGCTCAGGTATGACAGCAGAGGGAGGCCCTGAGAAGTGGGGACACAGGAGGCAGCAGAGGTGAACACTGGAATGGGATGGCAATAGCGGTGGTGTTTGGTATGAGAGATCCCACAGCTGTGCAGTTGTTAACAGCCAGTAAAAATCAAAATGCAGACCTAAAGCCTTGTAAAACTGGCCTTAGAGGTAACAATACATAGTATCCAACATATGCAGATTACCATACATATAAACCTTGGATACAAGCTGGTGCAACAGAACAACAAAGATGATAGAAAAGCACATTATCGAACATAAATGACTCCCAGACTGATCCCAGGAGAGTAAGAAGGAACCAGAAACATCAATGAAATACTCTTCCAATGAAGGACTGCAGAACTCTGTATTACCCTCTCCAGAACTTGCAGGCTATGGATTAACACTCAAGGAAAACAGAGGTTCAAAGAGAAGGAGCAGAAATGAAGAAGTGCGTATGCTACAATTTTAATAGCATTACTGTGACTTTCTTTCCTCTATGTAGAAGTATTCTAACTGCACTATTCATTTCTAAAATATTTAAATTAACCATGTTTCTTGAATCAGACTCTTAAGATCTCCAAGTCTGTGTGTGTATATAGATCTCTCTGCCTTAAGGATTTTCAGTGTAACACCTTCAAAAGAGATAAACCTACCTACCCTTTTCTAGGAAATAAAGACTAATGAGCCTCCAAATCCTGACTAGGAACCTCGTGAAAGCTTCAGTAAAAATGACCACTTCAGTCACGACTGTTTGTATCAGAAGATGGAAAGAGTCTCTATCTCAGACACACACAGTCATACAGATTTGTAATAGAGATCTGCCATTTACCAACACAATTTCAGAAAGGAGTCTGAAGTAAGGCTCCTAGTTAGTTTCTTAACTCAGTTTTCAGATCTGAAACAAACGGAAGCCATTAGACTTCAAAACCAAAGTACAGAGAAATGTGATCAAACTGAATACACCATCTCGAGAACTCAAAAGGATATCCTGGCCAAGTAGTACACAGACTCCTAGTTCACAGCGGCAGAGGACAGCTCCCCTGCCAAACCTGTTTAAAGCATCAAAGAATACAAAGGATGACAAATCAGAAGATTCTAGAAAGAAAATATTACCATCATGGTAAGCAGCATTAAATCAGTATTGGATTCTTGGTTCCATAGCGACCATAAACATGGTGCAAGCCTGCAGCTAAACAAGCCCCTTTGCTTGAACAGAGTAATTCAACAATTTGACATGTACATTGTAAAGCTACAGAAGCCAAAGACAGAGGCATTTATCAAGCCAGCCATCTAGATTTTAGCGGAGTTATTTTTACTGAAGGATACCAAGAAACACAGCTTTCAAGCCTTACCGTTCCAGTCAGACTCCAAGGGCCCTCATACATGATTTATCATCAGAATAATCAGCAGCTCATTAAGGTGGAGTTTTGTACAAACCTCTTAAGAACCTAGCACACACTCCTTTATCTTTTTTAATTGATCAATAAACCCACAAAGGTAGAAGCCTTCAGTTTTACTCGATTACATGAATGGTGAGACACTCAAGAAAATATGGATTAATAGTTAATGAGTTAGAACAGCTTTAATCAGAACACGGCATATTTGATTACATTCCCTACTTGTTTTCAAACTGACAGGTAATGATGAATTTAAAAATTAGAGAAAGAAGTTACAGCATTTACAAAAAGGAAAAGTCTCAAATGGCCTGCACCTAAAACCAAGAGGCAGTGCTCAGCTTAACAGAACTGTTGAGGTTTGTTTCAATGAAAAGAGTGCCAAGTTTTTTAGAGAGCTGTTCAGTACTTCCTGAACAACATGGGATTAAAAACTAGGGTTTCTGAAAAGTCTTGAGTCCTCCTCCAGACCAAAAAAGATAAAAATTTCTTGAAGTTCCAACTCAGCACATCCTTCCTTAACAGTGACCACAACTGAAGTACTGCTAGTCAGCCTAGATTATCCACCTTGTACTTCTCCTCCAAGTGGTAATGCAACAGGGCTGCACAAAGAGGGAGTTTCAACAGAAAGTGTGACTTGCTAGTTGCTCACCACCCATACTGTTCTTACCTCAAAGTTCTCCTTATTTATTTTGACCAAGACAGTTACTCTGTTGAGGGTGAAAACAACCTCAATATTTCAAGAGGAAAAAAACCCACAAAACCAAAATCAAACAGCTCAGCCATGAAACTCAAGTGTAGTTTCTGGGCTCTCCAGATAACTCTCCACAAGTATACTCTGAAAGCAGTGTGGGGCCAAAAATAGTTTTTCCTGTGTCATGAGTAGCACGTCATCTTCCAACCTTCACAAAAATTTGAAATTCAGCAACAAGGTGTATTACTCTTATTTCTGAAATTCAAGAATAGCCTTTATTAAGAACTTACTGACCTAACTATGAACAAACTTGTATCTGAATTTCCAAATAACTGAAAGTACTTGCACAGAAACACAGAAATTCAAGCAAGCAGAAACCTTTTTGGGGGAAAAAAAAAAAAAAAAAACCCAAAAAAACCAAACAAACAAAACCCCACCAAACAAAAAAACTTTTTATTGCAACAACATCCCCACCATCAACTGAGATGGCAAAAAGTAAGTTTTAATTCATTTTGCATTTCTACCTTTTATTTATGTAAATATAAATTCAAGAGTGTAAAATAAATCCACATAAAAAACACAGAACATTCTCTTTCAGTGACTCCAAAAAAACCTTACATACTGAAGAATCATGACAAGTCAGCTGCTGTCCATTTTTCCAAGTATACAGGCATGACAGAATACAGAAATTTATTCTCCAAAAGCATCCTGTATAAAGTCCTTAAAATATTTAAGTAATATTTATTAATCTCATACTCCTGAGCTTATGGATGTCGATTCCAAGAAAAGGAGAGACAAAAACCATCTCAGACTTCCGGTTATTTCAACTCCATCTAAAGTAATCCATTTACAGGAAGATTATGTTCAATTCTTGTAGCTGAAGCATCACAATTACTCTATAAGTATCATTATTTGGGAAAACTATTTCTTAATTATTTTTTTCTGCTTTTAAAATGAAGTCAGAATATTGCAAATAGTTTTGTTCACTTACACTGTAAATGTATTGCGGAAAGTAACTCCACATGCTGGTACAACAGGCCTTCATGAAGTTCCACTTAAACATTACTATGATGTACCTTAAAAAACAGGGACCACAGCATGAAACGCACCATGAAGAGTCAAGTATCATGGGATCATGGATTATCTTCCTCCTTGGATGCAACAAAATGCTTACATATTTTGAAGTCAATATTGGACTGTTAGACCACATGAATACTGGCTGGTTATAAATACCTGGACTAGGAACATTTACTGTTTTAGAAAGATGGGATTATTTATTGTTATTACACCAAAAGAATTGTTACCAGTATTATAAAATGTATCGTGCAGGATATTTCAAGAGGAATGTTTTTCACTGGGTTCAACAGGCATATACTTCCAATGACTGTGGCTTTTAATGCATATCATGCCAAGTTCTTAATAAACAGTTTTCCCTCATTGGTTATGTTACAACAGAGTGAAGAAATTAAGATGGTAAAAGCAAACAAAGTTAAAAATGAGAACTGCAAGTAACTTCACAACTAGAAGAGGAAAAATCGTAGAAGGGTTTAACTCAGCACTGTTGTGGGTCCCCACAGTTGCACTGCTACTCTTAGGTTTCCAAAAGATGCAAATGAATTTATAAATATTTTTGTGCTAAGAGCCATGCTCAAACAAAATACAGGCTAGCACAAGTCTACCTTCCTGGAGATGCATGTTAAGTATAAAATTCACTTACTAAAGTGCATTTGCGAACAAATTCTAACTTCTACTATTATAGCTATCCCAATAAGCAATACAAACTAAACTTTGTTGAAATTCTACCTCTACTTAAAAGCAGTAAATATAGATGGCTGAAATCTAAATTACAGTCTTGTATTATCAAACATTTTGACTCAATGTTGTGAACTGCAGAAATAAACAAAATGCACTGTCCTAAACTTCCCATAAATGAGGAAGTACCTCTACTTAGAAATACTGAAAGTGTAGAATGGAGTTAAGTATAAGCAGAGCTGAAGTAAGCATTGCTTTTTGCTTCTTATTCAATATGGTGTTTCTTTAAGGCTCTGAGAGAAGCGGTTAGTTTTCTCTAGATCTTTCGGCAAGAGATATAAACACAGAAATAGCAAGGTCATCTGACATTTCAGAACTTGTATTTTCATATATCATTAAAGCCAGCTCATTCAGTGTCTGTATACATTTATTGCACTTGTGTTGTTGGAATACATCCATACCAACATAGTAATAATGATTGCAACAAAGCCATTGTAAAATAAAAGGGTCTGATTTGGACATTAGAGGATAAGTGTCTGCATGTTTAAAATGTTCCCCTAATAATAATAATAAATACAGACAAAATGCTCATCAAGTCAGATGCACATGTTTAACAACTATTTAGCATATATAAAATTTCACTCATCCTTTTTATCAATACAAATCTGTTAGGGATCAAAAAAGACCATGCAAAATATTGATTAGTGCTGCATTATGGAATATATATTTCTATCAGAGTTAAAACAGCATTTTCAAAATTTAAAGAAAAATAGATTTTTAAAAAGGGATTCTATTGTTGAATGCAAGTCTTCCTTGTAGCAAAGACAAGATAGAGACAAGTTACGATTTATCGCTGTACTTCAGTCTTGATGAAAGACTTAATAATTATTTGTCCACCTACTTAATAAATGCTACATTTTCAAGAATAAAGGAACTATCAGTAGGCATTATTTCTACTTAAACCAAGTTACTTATTTCTCTCTGTAATAGGTCAAGTATGCTTTTAAAGATTCAGGTAACGGTAGACTCATAATTTTCTCTCTCAACAGATTTCGAGGAGGCTCTTCTGGCTTCAAGGCCTCACTGTGATCTTTTTCCTCCTCCTCTTTGTTATCATCTTCCATTCTTTCATCTTCTTCACTATCTAGTGGCTGAGGAATGAGCTGATTACCAACGAACACATAGGTGTTAATCCTGCGTCTACGACATCTCCTTCGTTTTCGTTTTGGAGGAGCCTTCTGAGCAATACCTTTGGCTTTCATCTCCTCATTTATGAAGTTTCTAAGGGTGCGTCTGATATATATTCGAGCGAGGTCCTGGAGATTCCTAACAGCACATGGAGCTAAAAATGAAAAGAAACTAAGTTATACTAAGTCCCCTCTAGCGCAAAAATTACTGCTTTGTAGCTAAGACTGATGCTCAAGAGTAACTGAACTTTTAGTACATGCTACAATATGCAAATCAAACAAAGGTACAAAAGAACTACCCTGACAAACCCTGTGGCACAGTCCAGGAAGTTAGAAGGTCTTTTGCTAGATACTCAACAGAAGTAGAAAGCATGAACAGATCATTAATATAAAATTAAGAAAGCATACAATAAATACTGTCACCTTTTAGCACCTGGAACATCTTGGGACCTACTGCTGGCACTATTTCAAGATCCAGCTGCTGTGATAAAATTTCTAGCCCTGCGTCACATTTGTTTCACAAGTGCATTTCTTCTGCTCCCTCTTCTACTCACTACGCTTCTCCCTACTTCCTACTGAATCCAACTTATGAAGGAGGGCCACACGAACTTCACGGCTGACCAACCAGGTAAATCACCCATAGCTTTGCAGCAGAAAAGGATCAAAATTACTGAAGACCTGACGAAAAAAAAGTAGGTAACAAAAACCCAAAGCCACATATTTTCCAATGACAGACAGGCAGATGATGGCTAAGTATTGCTGAGCTGGTGGGTGCCTGCCCTAGGTCAGCTACAGCTGACTAATTCCAAAGAAAACAAAACCAAAAAAGCAACCAACCAAAAATACAGCCTTTTCAACTTTCTTGTCATTTTAATTACCATACAAAAGTAGCATAAAATTAATGGGGACTAACAGCAAGAAAAAAAAATTAGTGCAGAAATAATTTTGACAATTACACTCCAAGTATTGCTTTCAGCTTAAACAAACAAAAACCACAAAACCAAACCAAAAAAAACCCTAAAAACAGCCAAACAAAAAACCTCAAAACATTCAATGTATTTCAAGCAAAATCTATTGTTTCATACACTGACTTCAGGCGCATGCTCGTTACTCATATCTGAGACAGGATGTTTATAACCATTACCACTGATTTCAGCTAATGCCAACGAAAATAAAAACCCCACACAAGAACAAACCCCCCAAACAAAACCAAAAATCAGTCAGTCACCCCCCCCAAAAAAAAACCTCCATTTTTTTAATATTAAATCAACTCAAAATTCAAAACTAAACAAAAGCTATCTAACCATACAAAACATATTTATAAGAAGAAGCTAAAGAAGCTGTGATTGCAGACTGCCAATCATAGTACATGCAAGCAGAGGGCATATAAAGTTGAAGTAGTGGACTAGCAGGCACTGGTCCCATATACAGAACTGTATAAGAGAGGCTTCATAAAATCAGAAAGAAAGAAAAGTAATTATTTCCTTCAAAAGATGATGGAATTAAATTTTGAAACACTGTCTCCTGCAGAATGCTTAAATGCAGTAAGCTCTCAGCTTTCTTATCCTGTAAGGTAATATAGAACAAAGACAGTGTTTTTAGTGCTAGTTATGATTATACTCTATTTGATTTTGAAAACAACAGCATCTAAAAGGTTTAAAGACAAAAGTCAGCCACTCACAGTTGCATCCCAGTTCATAAGCTGTAATTGGTAACCACCAGCAATTTGTAGCACATAGAGGAAGGCAAGGCGTAAAGCTCCTGCACATATGTTCAGAAATTCCAGACACAGACTAAAACAAAATCAGCTTTTAGAACGCTTCAGACTTGCTGAACTTTTTAAATTAAAAGAAATGCTCGATAGGTAGAAAAGATAAGTTATAAAGTCTAACAGTGAGACAGTCACAAAGCTTTCCTATGCAGGTATTAAAATCTGTCTGAATACACAAGTAACAGAAGTAGTTGTAAGTTCCACTGACATTCATGGATTTAAGCCAAACTGACCTTTTGTTTTGAGTAGCAATTTTCTCAAACTTGCTTGATGTTTAAAAACATAGATTATTGGCAAAAATCTTGGAGCAGATTCTCCTGGA